TGTGTGTGTGTGTGTGTGTGTGTGTGTGTGTGTGTGTGTGTGTGTGTGTGTGTGTGTGTGTGTGTGTGTGTGTGTGTGTGTGTGTGTGTGTGTGTGTGTGTGTGTGTGTGTGTGTGTGTGTGTGTGTGTGTGTGTGTGTGTGTGTGTGTGTGTGTGTGTGTGTGTGTGTGTGTGTGTGTGTGTGTGTGTGTGTGTGTGTGTGTGTGTGTGTCTGTCTGTAGGTCGCATAACTCATGAACCGATACACAGAAAAACACCAAATTTTAAACTTAAGCTTTGTTTCAGCGTTTCAGCTGATTAGATTTTGGGCAGAGTCGGAACATCTGGGGGGGTACTTTATAGGTGGTCATTTTTATATTTTATAGAATATATCTGTTATTTACGTTTGGAGAAGAAAATTCTATATATCCTATAAATAATTTCTCTAAAATGGACCGTATTCGAGATATTTGAGAAAATATGTAAATTTCGAATTTTGAAGAAAACTCAAAAACGGATAAAGGAAAAAACATTAAATTTTAAACTTAAGTTTTATTTCGACCTGAGGTGAACTGATTAGATTTTGGACAGAGTCGGAACATTTGGGGGAGTACTTTATAGGTGGTCATTTTTATATTTTATGGAATATATTCGTTATTTACGTTTGGGGAAGAAAATTCTTTGAATAAAAGTTACTTACAATATTATTATCTATAATTTTTGTTCTATGTCAAATTCTCCTGAAATGGTCCGTATTCGAGAAATTTGACAAAATGTGCAAAATTCTGATTTTTAAGAAAATTGTTAATCTAAAAGTTGTTTGCGATATTGATCTCTATAATTTTTGTTTTTAAATGACTTTTCTAAAATGGACCGTAATGGAAAAATTGGAGGAAAAGTGCTAAATTAAAATTTTTCAGTATTTTCGTTTTCAATGAATATCTATAGAAAAATGTTTCGAGGTAGATGTATGTGGAAAATGTATATATTTAGTTTATCCTCTAAACATTTTTAGAGATGCTGCAATAGGTTAACTAGATAGGAAAGTCATGTGTTGGACACATCAGATTTTTATTAAATTGAAAATCCTTCATTTAACGAAAAATCTTTAAATAATTAAATCCTTTCTATGATGCCTAATAAATAAAAGCAATATTACTGTTCGCGGGATATCTAATATTACATGTACAAGCACAATAACTAGAAGATATAAAAACCTCCATAAAACATTTTTTTTCACGCCCTTATCTTGAGTCAGTTTCGATATAATATCAACACAAAATTCCGAAAATTTCTCACGTAATAAATCTACCATCCCTTATTAACCAGCCAAAAAGTCGATCCCACCGGAATTAGGACAAATTGACGTCAAAAAGTCTATTAAAACCCGAGGAACTAGATATTCATTTATTATTATTATTTTAAATCCAGTCTAATTCAGTTGCTTCTTAAATTTAGTTATATTTAAGTTCAGTATTCAGTACCTTTCCTAAATAGACGCTATTCCTAACCGACACCCATCGTACCCTACCTCCTATCGACGTTCTAGCGACGTTTTACGTCCCAACGACCTATCTCCCGAACGCTTTCACGTCCCTCCGCCCTACTTCTAGATCTCTCTACGTCGCGACGTTCTACGTCCCAACGACTATCTCCAGAACGTTGTCACGTCCCGACGCTTGCCTCCCATAAACTTATCTAAATATTTCTTTCACATTACACGTGACGACACTCTTCGTCGCGCAGCACCTCCTAAGTATTTCCTATTTTGTATCCGTCTCGACGCAGTACTGTAATAAATACCTACAACGCTGCTGCGTATCCAAAATCGACGCCGTCACAACGGTAGATAAAATTAGTATATAAAATTAGACGTGCCAAATGTATGTATTTTCAATGGTGAGTCGAAAAGGTTAATGTAACTTATTTTGAGATATCACCGGAGTTTCGTTTTGAATAAGGGCTGACATCCGCTTCAAAATATTATCAATGTAAACCAATCAACCACATGGCCTTCAGGTATTCACCCCGAAACACAGTTAACATATGTTTTTCGATGGGTGAATTTGGGTCATTTCAATAAAAATTATAAATATCATATTTTAGAAATATACAGGGATGTATCATCTTGGGTAAATTATGCACACAAATTTAAGCTAACCTAGATGGTAATATTGAATCTAGATAACCTACTGGTGAATTGACACTGGTAGTTTCCTCAAGGGGGACACCTATACTAGCCACCCATTCTACTAGGTTTGAATCATAAAGTATATGTAAACATCAACACAGTAAGTTAACCAACTGAAGAATTGGCGCTGTTCGTTAACTCCGTTGGTCATCACCTTCAAACTCGTCGAAATAAATACCTAAGAAGATATAATTCTGTGTATATCAAAGAGAGAATCAAGCTAAATAAAATATAAACATCAACACAGTCAGTGAACTAACTGGAGAATTGGCGCTGTTCCTTAACTCCGCTAGTCATTAAGCTAAAAATACATCTTGATGGCAAATGGACGTGGTCCGCGTTTAAGCGAAGCTTAAGTGAGATCTCGGTAAAAAGTACATAATGTAATATACTTTGCAAATTATTACGTTACAGTTAAAATATGAAAAATAAAAAGGTTGTGTGGTTTTATTTACCAATTTGCACCAAACTTTGCATCGAATCCTGGTTTATTTTAATTGACACAACGTGGGTATATATCTGTATCTCTACCGTGTGGAGGGTGGGTTAACCAGGTCCAAAAAGTATTTGATTGGCTGCCTTCTTGGCAAGTGAATCAGCAAGACGGTAACCTTTCGTTGTGACGTGACCTTTGATCCATCTTTAGTTGACCACATTGTTGACGGATACTTTGACCAAAGCTTCGTGACATTCTAGTACTAACCCTGGTTGATCTTAATTAACATTATCACGTAGGTATATAAATTATCAATTAATTAACTAGACGATCATTACTACTACTAGAGGAATAAGTAAAACAAAATTGAGAGGTAACCAATAAGATTTCAAAAAAACCAAAAAAGGTTGACAGCTGTGTGCACGTAGTTTAGATTCAAAAAGGAAAAACTTGTATTTCGTGCAAAACTTTTTTTATTAATGCAAAGCGCTTTCGGCTTATTTGCCATCATCAGTGCTCATTGTCCACAACGTATCCAACAAGTTCCTGGTCATCCTCACTCCCAAAATTATAAATTTCGGGATGTTTACAACTTGCTAAATCATAATTTTATTAATATTAATATTTTCAAATTTAAATTTATCTCATTTTGGTTCAAGTTGTCATGTGGAAACGGTTAAACAACTTGAACCAAAATGAGATAAATTTAAATTTGAAAATATTAATATTAATAAAATTATGATTTAGCAAGTTGTAAACATCCCGAAATTTATAATTTTGGGAGTGAGGATGACCAGGAACTTGTTGGATACGTTGTGGACAATGAGCACTGATGATGGCAAATAAGCCGAAAGCGCTTTGCATTAATAAAAAAAGTTTTGCACGAAATACAAGTTTTTCCTTTTTGAATAAGATTTCAGCTTTAAACTGAATCAAAGATTTATGAGGGTGGGCGGTTACAGTACATACAAAAACACGGGAAATTATGTAGCCACCGGAAATCTATAATCTGAAGAATTTATCACCAAAGAGGGTTTAATTAAGACTGCGGAGAGTTTAAAGTGATAATGGACGATTTAATAAAATAGGATCTCAGTTAAATAAATCACCGTGGGTCATAAAAATATGGAATTGATACAGATCTATGAATGTGCCTTTGCTGATGTCTTAGTTGTGTATGCTAAAAACGAAAAATATCTTCAAAAAACTTTAGATATCTGGGAAAAGGCCCTCCCAATTAAAAATCTAAAATAATGAGGTAGAGGAATTCCGGAAGGAATGTGGACTAAATTGGCAGGAGGCAAAGGTGAAGACTAGAAATAAATGTAAATGGGCTAAATTTGTATATAGTTATAACAAAAAATATCTTAGTGTATATTAACGTGTTGATGATATGTAATTATATATATTTTATTCTTGATATCCACATCTTTACTTTCAGGGACTAAACATATCCTTCTAAAAAAGGTCGTTGAATATAATTATTTCCTTTCCGGTGCGACATTCATTAGGTATTAATTTACTGCATATTTATTTAATACTATTGTTGTCGTATCCAACGTACCTGGTCAACGTTCTTCTTTTGGTTAATTAGTGAACGTCTATTATAGTTCATTAAGATATGATACTGACATTAGGTGAATCTAATGTATTAAAGGATGTATTGAAACGTTGGTGCCGTAAATTCAAGTATGGAAGAGCTTGATGTAGAACCTTCAAGATAGAGCACTGCCAATCACGGTGAAAACTTTAAAAATGCCATTGATTTAGTGCTTGAAGGCCGATGTGTGTATATTCAATAAATTGTTGAGAACACTGGTTCATCGTATCATTCTGTTTACAATGTTCTCTTAAAATAACTCAATGTGAAAAAGTTAATTGCAGGATGAATACCACGAATGTTAACTGACCACCAAAAGCTGTAACAACTGGCATCTTCCTGCTTCGCAAGCTGTCACCTAATGTAACACATCTAGTATTACCAGACTGTAATCCAAGTCTGAGTAGAGGATTGGGGGAGCCAGGGGCTGAAACCTAAGCGTCATTAAGGGGAGCCATGTGCTGGAATGCATGTCGGATTAGGGGAGCCTACCGGAAGACAGGCCTAAAATGGTGAAAAAACTCGTGTATGTCAGGATAACGCTTTACAGGAGAAATAATCGCCCTTAATATGGAATGTCACTAGTTATTTTTTTTTATTCTTTATTTTATTAATTTCGTATATTATTTATATTACTGTGTATTATATTGTATAAAAACGTTCCGCCTTTAGAAAAGATCTTTTAGTGTAGTTGATTTGGCAATATATCAAATAATTTTTTTAATATTTACAAGGGATAATATTGACCAATAGTTTTATTGCATTTTATTTCTTTGCATTCGTTTTAATTTCTTTTATTGGACTTTTTGTATGAGCTTATATTTATTTTTATAGGAATGTCGCAGCAGTTTTGGGCGTTTTGATACAGTTTCTTTGATACAGTTTCTTTGATACAGTTTCTTTGATACAGTTTCTTTGATACAGTTTCTTTGATACAGTTTCTTTGATACAGTTTCTTTGATACAGTTTCTTTGATACAGTTTCTTTGATACAGTTTCTTTGATACAGTTTCTTTGATACAGTTTCTTTGATACAGTTTCTTTGATACAGTTTCTTTGATACAGTTTCTTTGATACAGTTTCTTTGATACAGTTTCTTTGATACAGTTTCTTTGATAAAGTTTCTTTGATAAAGTTTCTTTGATTTAGTCTTTTTGATACAGTATCTTTGATAGTATCTTTGATGGTATCTTTAATAGTATCTTTGATAGTATCTTTGATAGTATCTTTGATAGTATCTTTGATAGTATATTTGATAGTATCTTTGATAGTATCTTTGATAGTATATTTGATAGTATCTTTGATAGTATCTTTGATAGTATCTTTGATAGTATCTATGATAGTATCTTTGATAGTATCTTTGATAGTATCTTTGACAGTATCTTTGATAGTTACTTTGATTATTTCTTTGATACAGTTTTTTACGTTTTCTTTGATACAGTTTCTTTGATAGAGTTTCTTTGATACAGATTCTTTGATACGGTTTCTTTGATACGGTTTCTTTGATACGGTTTCTTTGATACGGTTTCTTTGATACGGTTTCTTTGATACGGTTTCTTTGATACGGTTTCTTTGATACGGTTTTTTTGATACGGTTTCTTTGATACGGTTTCTTTGATACGGTTTCTTTGATACGGTTTCTTTGATACAGTTTTTTTGATACAGTTTTTTGATACAGTTTCATTGATACAGTTTCTTTGATACAGTTTCTCTGATACAGTTTCTTTGATACAGTTTCTTTGATACAGTTTCTTTGATACAGTTTCTTTGATACAGTTTCTTTGATACAGTTTCTTTGATACAGTCTCTTTGATAAAGTTTCTTTGATTTAGTCTTTTTGATACAGTATCTTTGATAGTATCTTTGATAGTATCTTTGATAGTATCTTTGATGGTATCTTTAATAGTATCTTTGATAGTATTTTTGATAGTATCTTTGATAGTATCTTTGATAGTATATTTGATAGTATCTTTGATAGTATCTTTGATAGTATATTTGATAGTATCTTTGATAGTATCTTTGATAGTATCTTTGATAGTATCTTTGATAGTATCTTTGATAGTATCTTTGATAGTATCTTTGATAGTATCTTTGATAGTATCTTTGATAGTATCTTTGACAGTATCTTTGATAGTTACTTTGATTATTTCTTTGATACAGTTTTTTACGTTTTCTTTGATACAGTTTCTTTGATAGAGTTTCTTTGATACAGATTCTTTGATACGGTTTCTTTGATACGGTTTCTTTGATACGGTTTCTTTGATACGGTTTCTTTGATACGGTTTCTTTGATACGGTTTCTTTGATACGGTTTCTTTGATACGGTTTTTTTGATACGGTTTCTTTGATACGGTTTCTTTGATACGGTTTCTTTGATACAGTTTTTTTGATACAGTTTTTTGATACAGTTTCATTGATACAGTTTCTTTGATACAGTTTTTTTGATACAGTTTATTTGATACAGTTTTTTTCAGACAGTTCCATTGATACAGTGCTTTTGATTCAATTCCATACATTTAAACTCCTTTGATTCAATTCCATTGATAACATTCTTTTGGTACAATTCCCTGTATTAAATATCCTTGATTTAATTCTCACCATCCAATTATCTTGATTTAATTATTTTGATTCAATTATCTTGATTCAATTATCTTGATTCAATTATCTTGATTCATTTATCTTGATTCAATTATCCTGATTCAATTATCTTGATTCAATTATTTTGATTCAATTATCTTGATTTAATTATCTTGATTTAATTATCTTGATTTAATTCTCTTCATTAAATTCTCTTGATTAAGTTCTCTTAATTCAATTATCTTGATTCAATTCTCTTAATTCAATTCTCTTGATTTAATTCTCTTGGAAGGGTTTTAATTTGTCTGCGTGGTGTGAAGTTTCGGATAAATAAAAAAGATTGGTTTAACCGATAATTAAGTTTTCATCCAGTCTTACCTAAGCGAACATCGTCAAAAGTAAGTCTTAATTGTTCTATCTTTAAAGAAGTACTGGTGCACTAAGGTTTACACATTGGTCCTATTATGTTCGTTATTTGATCAGTGATGTAATTTCTTATTTCAAATACGATTTAAAATGTTAATTTGTCTTTGATTGCAACTGCTTAACCTTTGCTTAACCTCAACATTGATAAATAGAAAGTAACAAAATTTCACAAAAGCGTTAATGTAGGTGTAATTGATCGTATGAGTATTTTAGATAGAAGCTTAACTATCATAGAATCTATCAACGAAGTTGGTGTTATTTTCGATGAAACCTTCTTCTCCATTTCACATATTCAATATGTCATATTAACAAACTGCAACTGGTCTCGTTATAAAGGATATCTATGTAAAAATTATTGAACAGAAGACGTGTACATTTTGTATGACCTCGGTAGTTAAAAAAGGAGTAATAATAGACTGGCGGCTACACTTCTTTTCTATCTTCAGTCGGTAATTACTAACGTAAACCTGTTTGCCCTCAGATCTTTCTACCTTAATGTAAATGATTTTTGTGAGATATCTCAATTCTCTGAAAAATTACTTTATTATCTAAACCAAGGCAACAGCTAAAATAGTTTATATTGCTTTCTTTAATTTTCTGAATAGATTTTTGTTATTTTTATTTACATTTTTATTTTTATAGACTTATTTCATGTGCAGGAATATGAGGCTGCTGAGTTGCTGGCAAGTTATTAAATAAAAATAAATTTTTACCATTCTGCATGCTTTCAAAGCACACAGTCATTCATCTCGTCCCACGTGGAATTTTTTCAAAGGACATAATCAGTCCCAAACAGATCCAATTATTCTGAAATGGGTTACATAATTTATAAGTGATACATTGTTGCGATAAGCGCCGGCTTATTTATTTTGGGCACCGATATTAATTGATGGGTGTAATATCGAATGTCAATGGGAATGGACGAACAGAAACAGTAGGGTGATAAATGAATAAATTAAGATGGTAATGGTTTGTATCGTATATTATATAAATATTAATAACGGTGAGAGAAGAGAGCAAGGTGGGCAAGAATGAAGAATGGAGGTAAAAGGCGGCAAATCTCAAGCTTGGAACCAGAAATTATTTGTTTCATAAATGATATATAGTAGAACCAAAATAATATAAAGAACATTGAGAAACATTTGACCAAGTGCAAGTCGTATAAGTACTTGCATAATAGTATACCTAGTTGTTTTAAAATTGGTAGAATTGATAAATATGTTGATAGATATAGGCCAAATTTTAGTTTTGTTGTAAATCATGATAAAAAAAATATTCAAATTTTGAAAAAATGACGGACAAATTAGATATACTATGGTTGATAAGGTGTAGAAGTAGATCTAAAATCAACTTTGGAAAATTTTTAATAAATCTAAATAGCTATTTGTGTAGTAAGAGCAAAAAGTGATACTTTGACGCTTGAGACAGAAAGCGACAACAAACTTTTTGCGCAAAATACACACAAGATTTTCTACTTTTTAAAAAAATAGATATAAAAACTGAACATTTGTGGTAAGTAGTGTATAATGTGTTGCCTATACCTACATTAATCATGAGAAATGCAGTAGATATTCAAAATCCATGTTAACTTGGATAATATAACAAAAAAACATATAACTACGTACAAATAACTTGAAAATCATTTATTAAAAAGAAATATTATTGTATTATATATAATTTAAATTAGGCAAGCAACAAAGCTGTTAAGTTTTCCGCTCTCCGAGCGACACAGCTGTCACTTAATGTCAGTTCGCGGAAAACTTCAAGTGCGTTGTATTTCGAAGCGCAAAAGCCTACTTTGGATAGTGATCGTAGAAAATTAGTAGTTTGTGTAACAAGAGTGGATATGGACAATCCATTCGAATTGTACAGTATATTTTGTCTACGACCCACTAACAAAAATTTATAAATTTTACTGATTTATTAAATAAAATAAGCATGTCCCGGGCCCAGATTCGAACTCGGGCTATTCGCGTGAAAGAGATGTCCACAGCTTCACGGCGACTTTTATGATTTTAGTTTTAATACTCGTAATTAAATTAGTTTCATACAGATTGATTAAAATTTAATTTTTTTCAAAATGTGGACCAAATAAAAACTAATTTTAATGTATATTCAATCTCAATAACTAAAAAATATACTGACAATTAGTTTGTCACAATTGTCACTTATTTCAAATTTTAAAAATAATAGCAGCTGGGTGTCCAAAATATGAACTGTGATTGGTGGATTTTATTTTTTGCAGTATTCTCACTAGAATGGATATGAAATATATTGGCTCAGTGGTTAGAGTCATGACTCTGAGATCGAATGGTCTCAGGTTCGAATCCTGCCGGTGACAGGATTTTTTTTTAAATTAATGAATCAAATATTAATTCTAATGCATAGGTAGGATTCCCCACTCGACCATTCACTGTTAGGTTCTAATTAACAATGCTGTTTCTAAAGTGGTGCTGGGAAACAGTAATAAAGTCTATACAGAACACGAGGCTAAAATCATAGCAGCTGATGTCAATGTCACAAAAAAATTATACATTTTAACGACCTGTCAAAACCCACTGGTAGCCATTTGTAATGACAGGTTATGATATGGCAACCTTGTGGGTCGAGTGATTTGACATGGTCAATGATATAGATAGTTATATAGATTGATCATTCATGTTTTTCAAAATAAACATAACCTTATGCCTACAAAAATGTAGGTAATTATTTTTTTTACTATATTTAAAGCCTGAAAATTTATTTTAAAAACCATTCTGATTAATGAGCATTTGTGAGGCAATATGGCCGTTCGCAAATCGATCCGCTTTGAGCAATCTATACAAGATAACGACGATTTCATCTGCCATAGAAGATTTTCCAACCAGATCAAGCGGCACCTGTCTTCTACAAAACAATCTTACGAAGAATTAATCGCTAACAGTGACAATACTAAAAAAATCTTTAAATACATCCGTTATCCTCTCTCATCCAAAGTGGCCATTCCTTTTCTTCAAAAGACCGATGGAAGTTTATGCTTCTCCAATTTCGAAACAGCTGAGATCTTATCACTCTCTTTCTCCAATGGTTACATCATCGAGCCACCAAACGCTGTACTACCCCATATTATTACTACACGTAATTTAGCTTCACTTGAAAATATATTTTTTACTGAAACCCAAATCAAAAAAAAAATATACTAGGTATTAGAGCTAACTCATCCCCTGGCCTTGACGGCTTAACACCTTATTTCTTAAAAAAATGCGCAGGTGTTCTGTCATACCCTCTTTCTATAATAATAATGAATACATCCTTCCTCCTGGAAATCTGCATCTGTTACTCCGTTCTTTAAAAAGGCAATAAACTTAATCCCAATAACTACCGCCCGATCAGCCTCCTACCAGTTATTTGCAATCAATTGTTGCCGAAAAACGTCCTCCTTTTTAATCCATGAAAATGTTATACCTCAATAAAAACACGGCTTCATTAAAGGAAGATCGACTCTTACCAACCTCCTCCATTGTATTAATAATTGGACGAAATCCATTGACGATAAAAAGCCTATCGATGTCATTTATCTAGATTTTTCTAAGGCTTTTGATAGAGTCCCAAAACGTCGACTACTTCATAAACTGGAACATATAGGCATCCGCGGTAACCTTCATAATTGGATCTTAAATTTTCTAATTGACAGATCTTTTAAAGTAAGAGTTGGTAACGAGTTCTCCTTAGAAGGACCAGCCTCAAGTGGTGTTCCACAGGGCTCGGTTATCGGCTCTTTGTTGTTTACTGCTTACGTAAGCGACCTTAAAGCGCTAGTTTCATATCCTCAATATGTTCTTATGCCGATGATACAAAAATATTTGCCAACCCTCTTCACGACCATCAGGCACTTCAAAATGACCTTAACAACCTCCATTCATGGTGCTGCCACTGGCTCTTGCCCCTAAATATAAACAAATGTGTTGTGCTCCATATTGGTAAAATAATCCGGAATTGCCATATTCAATCAACATGCATGCATTAATTAGAGTGTCCTCGTACAACGATCTAGGTGTTACAGTGAATTCTAATCTATCGTGGATTGATCATATCGCTAATGTGTGCAAACCCTCAAACTCCAGATTATTCCTAATTCAAAAAACATTTTCAAAAGTGTCTTTTGAAACGTTGCAGACTTTATAAATGCTACGTCCGTCCTATCCTAGAATACTCAGGACCCGTGTAGTATCCAGACCTTGTACGCGACCAACAAATGCTGGAACGTGTTCAACGCCGCGCCATCCGGCTTACCTTTGTCCGCATTAGACCATCATACGAGGAAATGTTAGAAATGTTAGAAATGTTAGAAATAGGAAATCTTATAACATTCCAACAGAGACGTCTCCGCAGTGACCTAATTCTGTCGTTTCGAATAATAAAAGATAACTTTGGTGACCTTAA